GGTATATAACACCAAGGTCTTTTATGTCACCCCCCCAAAAAATCTGACACACCTTCCAGTGTTAAGTGGTTATTTATTTGAATTATACAAATGTGGTAAATGCTGGCATTAAAGGAAAGTATTTGTTAGTGTAAGAGTTGTTAATTTGCTGGAAAATAGCATGTATAAACTTTTGGGATGACGCTTGACAAAAAGTTTTTGCAGTTACTGTTTGGCACAAAATTGTCACGTGACTTACCTGCTAGTCTTTCATCTATACTTATTGCATGACTCTGTGCCCAAGTACTGTCGATGAAAATCACTCGCTCAAACAGGCCTTCCTCAGACTCAACTTTGGCACCATGATGGGCTTCATCTGGCCCAGTTGCACCTTCACCTAGAGTTTCACTAAAGGTTCTCTGGCATTTTTGGTGGCAGTTGTGGGGTGCATTCTCTTGGTCAGATGACTGCAAATAAGCCGATCCTTGTGGATCCATATCCAATCTGATAACGGAACTGCAAGAACTTGGTTTAGTCACACTCGGTTCTAACTGGGAACAATGTATAATGTTTCCTTCCTGGATTCCATTGGAGTGTATCTGAGGTTGTTCTTTCATTGCATCACTGTTCTCATTGGCTGATGTTCTGTGTTTCATCAGCTGCTCCAGTGCAATAGCATCTTTGTACGGAAACACAAGGAGCAACTGAAAATAAGCAACAACAGAAATGTCTAAGGCAACATTTTCTTACAAAATGCTATTGCAGCAAAGATTCTTGCTTACAAACCAAGCACCATAATCCAACATCATTATTCAAGCCATCAGTGCCTTGTTGACAATGAATCTCCAGCATGACTATGAATCATGATATTTACCCACAGGCTATAAGACTAAATTCTTAGCATAAGCTTATCCAATTTCTTAATGTCTACAACTCTACCGTTACTCTTGATAACTCAATAAATACATATACACAATGTCCAATTGGAAGCTTTCCTGGCCAGCTTTCCAAATCAACAGTCATTCATCCGTTTGTTACTAGCGTGTTTCCCCCAAACTCTCACATGGAATAAATAAAAAGGTTGTGTCTGAATCAGCAGGCTGTGGCTCACATTGGCTGTAAAGGCAGGTTCATACTCGCTGCGTTTGCACACATGCAGTGCGTAATGTGATCACCACATTTAACATTCACTTCCATATTTTCTCAAGTCTCAGCTGCGTGTGTGTATCCGACAAAAGTTGAACAATTTCAATTTGTCCAAATACACATACATTTGGTGCACACGCACTATCCATTATTTTCACAAACTGTGTGCAAGGGTGCACATTTTCATTACGCACTGCGCTTTCCTTCACGCACGGCAGACACCTCAAAATAGACCTTCGCGCTGCATACACAGTGAATACGCAGCAAGTATGAACCGGCCTTAATACTTTCATCTACATGTATACAAAGTGGTTACAGCCAGTAGTTACAGGCGGTCACAGACTCATATTGGTCATTCTATAAACTCGGGGTCCAGAAGTGCGACATGGAAATATCACCGAAATTGATTTCAAACTATTTCTATTTTGTTTGGCAGGAAATTTGCATTAATTCATCACTCTTAGAAATAAGAGAATGTGTTCTTAAATTACAAAATCATGTCAGATGTGACAGGGACATGAAAAAAATGGGACCCCGAATTTATAGAATGACCCATATATTATTCCCTGTCACAGCCACAACCTTTAAACAAAGCCATAAAACCTTTTCCTTGTTCTCATATGGTGGAATAGTTGGGTAAGTGTAGATGGTCACGAGGTCGGGGGCTAGGATCTTGGCATGTGGTGCAGTACTCTTCCCATCAACCTCTTGCTTGTGCTTAATGATGTCAACTTTCAGAGGAAGCTAAGAGAATAAGGAGAGAAGTAATCACGTCATGTATGGACAGAAAGTTTTGAGATGCACATACATGTAAGGCTCCAACTTCAGAAAGAAAACCTGCCTGACCTGTGGGTTAATACCAGAGTTGTAACGAGTCACTGATTTTTGTGACTCGAGACGAGTCACCCAAAAATGTGACTCGAGTCAAGTCATTGACTGGAGTCATTACAACTCTGGTTAATGCACATGCACTGTAGTTGACTTGAGAAAGTCAAAATGGCACGATGTCACACAGGCATGAATAAGGTGGTGTAGTCATACAGCAAAGAGGAAACATGACCCTTTGTGCTGGGTTGTTGCTGTATGCTATACTATGCAGCAATGCAACAAAGAAGTTCTCAGATGTCCAACCATAAAAATACAAAGCAAACAGAACCTTGTAAGCGGGCAAAAATAACTGACAAAATCACACCCAAACTGCATTTATGTCAATGACAAATGTATAGGAATTTTCAAAAACATGGAGAAAATTTAGACTTGGCCTATCTGGTGCTTTCTTGACGAAATTTGTTATGTAATGTGTCACCCAGGAAATGGCAAGGATTTGTTCATTATGAATGCAACATCATTTCAGATAAAGAAGGAAAGAACCAGACTGAAACACACCAATCTAGCTGGAATTTGGATCTAATTGCCATGCAATGTGCAGACAAACCTGCTGATATTCTTTGGTGGATGTACCTTGACTGTTTGGAATTTCCCAGCAATCTCTGGCATTGGAATATAACACTTGTAACAGAAATATTTCCTAGAAGCACTGCATTCTGGGCATGGTGTTCTCTTGGTAGCTTTACGCAAAGGATCATGGGAGTCTATCTTGAGTCCTTCAAAGGGATTGTCACTGGCAACATCCATGCCTCATTCACTCACTGAAGAAAAAACAAACCAACTGACACAGATTCAGAAGTTTTCTGAAGTGAATGATTTTAGAATGAGATTTATTTTTAAAAAAATCACAGAATGGACAGGTAATTACCAGTAGGCCCGAAGTCAATGCACACTACCCCAGACCAGGTCATGGACCAAAGCTTAATCGAGTAAAGTCGCTTGACGGTGCAACAATGCCTTGATCAAGTAGCAATGACGTACTTTTTCAGTTATCTCATAGATCATGGCTCTTGGATGACCTCTATCTCTTCATCAGCCTGAGCCTTCAGTAAAAATGGCAATGATTTCCAAGAGTTACATCACTTGTGCTATCCAAAATCCAACACCCACATTTCCTCCATCTGGGTACTTGGAAAATGCATCACCAAGATTTCTCGATGGAATCTATCCCAGTAATATTAAATTTTCAGTCACTTTTCGTGTTAGTGAATTCAGCTAGCAAAGCAGTTTTTTGGTAGGTTTTCAGACTCTCAAGGATGGAAATCTCAGAAACTTTCTGAAATCTCGTGAGAATAGAAATGACATTATTATTGCTTGATCAAGCAACCGTTGTACAACCCAGTGACATCTCTAGATTTGTCTTTGATCCTAAACCTGTAAAATGGTGCTACATGGATTTAAAAATCAGTAATCAATAAACACAGAAGGGCCTATTTAAGTAAGTGCTAACTATTGGTTAATATCAAACAATATAAGTCATGCAAAGAATTCTGGCAATGTCTGGATTAACTGTACTTGCAGAACTCCAAGTCACGACTCTGTTTGACTTCAAGGGCTTTGACTTTTTATGGGTGATAATGCAAGCAATGTGTGATGTGTTTGCATCATTTTTGTCAGGAGAATGTGAGAGTGGTAAGTACATGTAAAAGCTCTGATTTCTTTCAAGAAATAGTTGGTCACACAGCCCTGAACCCATAGGTCATAGGAGTTCAATAGATATACATCACTTTTGATGGCTTTTTGAGGGAAGATTTTATTTTTTTTAAACACAAAAATGTACCCTGATTTGACACAACAGGGCTGCAGTCAAAAACACACAGTATTACGAACCCATAAAATGTCAAACCCCTCAAGTCACAGCTTGGAGTTAGGCATATGCCATAGGTTAACTGCAGCATAGAGCCACTAATGGCAGACATGTTTTTGGCCTAGGCTGTAGTGAAGGCTTCTTGTACCACCAGAGCTACTCTATTATTTTTAAGCAAATTCTTAGTACATGTTCATCACGTCCCCTTGGACCTAGTCCCAATATTACTTGGACTCTACGAATCACCTTTTTAGCATTTGGCCATGGTCGGCATGGTCAGGCAATAGACCCGACCTTGTCCAAATGTTCAAAAAGGCGATTTGTAGAGTCCAATGCGGACCAACTCAGACAGTCAGACCAATGCTAACTCAGACCGTCCAACTCGGACCGACCCCCACCGAGACTCTCTGGATGAGCCTTATCATAAATATTGCATGGGTGATTTTACACAATTAATGGTAGAAAGGCATTGTGGGAAGGAGAAAGGGGCAAACATTGCCCCCTTTTCCTTCCTAAAATGCCTTTCTACCATTGTGCTAAATCACCCATGCAGTATTTGCGATAAGGTTTATTATGGGACGCCAACAGAACATTTAAAAAGGCCTAACTAGCCCCCACACATAGGGCTGAAGTGGCTCTCTTTTACAATCTGTCTCTTATCTGTCGTCACAGATATGACTTTAAGAGACAGATTGTAAGAGAGAGCCACTACAGCCCTACATGTGGGACTTGGGCCTAACTCAAAATCGGAGCTCTTGATACTTGTCAAGCTGTCAAAATTGGCACACTAAGATGACAGATCAATCATGCATGTTATGGGTACATATATGTCATAGGCCTATGTGTGCACGCACATGTCCTTCATGATCATGTCCTTGACCTCATGTTGTAGATAAGGAACCCACACCAAAAATCAGTAATGTGTGCCTTTTGATGTCCCAGCTCAATTGCAGAATACCCGCCACCCAACATAATCAACCTCATAGCCAGGTACAGGTCAAAGTGTCACACTCTTGTCAAGGGATTTCCACGTTGTACCCACATAACCACTGGTAACCAGTCATTCCAGGGGAATGACTGGTTACTGGTCGTTTTTTAGAATGGCAGGGTATGCTGCAATTAGTCCAATGTTCCAATATGCCCAAGGTTTCACGAATAAGTACAGGTAGGTACCCGTTCATTTTTTTTCCACATAAGGGTGGATGGGAGTCCCTAAAAAGCACCCCCACTTACATAACTACACAGTACACATACCACATTCACATAAACATTACATAGTTTTAGCATTGGCAAGATAATTGATACGAAATGGCTATCGTTACGGCACTGAACTGTGCAAGTGCGATGAAGTAGCTGATCATCACAACGGTTTATATATTTTTAAATTTCTTGGATCACTGAACGCTTGTGATCGAGTGGTCAGGGCTGGAACCACTGGTGTGTGAGTTTGAATCTGCACATGGAGTATTTTATTTTTTTCACCTAAATTTCATGCTTTATACCATACCTGTTTTTATGTTGGTTTCTAATGGTATAAGCTAACAACAGCCACTGCGTAACCGATATGCATATTACTACTATACTACTTACTAGGTCCTAGTAGTAGTACTACTATTGTACTACTACTAGTACTACAATCATGACAATCATGTACTGTAGGCCTAGGCCTAATTTAAGAAAAGCATGAAAAGAGATGAATACGACCTGTAACCCCGTGAGAATTACTCAGTTTCCATATAATAATTCAGTAAATATCATTATGATTATTCAGAGTACATTGTAACTCATTGTAACGTGTACACTGTAACTCTCGGGAGGCCTACCTACATATAAACACAAGCGATGAGCTGTATCGACATTTGATCTTGGCGATGATAAATAGCGCCCTCAAGTGCTAAATCAACGCGATTTTTTTACTGAGCTGTATCGACATTTGATCTTGGCGATGATAAATAGCGCCCTCAAGTGCTAAATCAACGCGATTTTTTTACAACACGGCCGGAGGCGCGACATTGTAACTTCATGAATTTTGTAAGTTGTTAGTTTCTTGTGGTATTTTCTAACTTAGTAAGTATGGGAATAATAACACGGTTAATGTTTGTGATACTGTCACTGCACAATCTCTTTCTGTGTTGGTTTCATTTGATGAGGTGATCACTCGGAACAGCACTGCATTTAGGTTTGATGACATTGGTCATTAACGTTATCAATCGTTACTTTTTGTTTGGTTTTTTTAAAAGCACAAATAGGCATAGGCCTACATGTTGCATGTAGAAAATTGGAGGTACATTGCATCTTTACATGTCCGAACTGTCCCATGCAATGGACCATGGCCAGCAGGATGACAGGGTGCCTAAATGGGAATGCTGGGACTCTATTGTGGGAATGAGTAGAGGTACTTAGTACTTCCACAGCTGTAAGATTTGTCATGTTTGTACAGACCTTAGTATGATATACTTTAAAGCCATGTACAACCCATGTTAGGTCCAATTTGCTTCCATTCAAATATGGAGGAATAAAAACTCAACCAATCAGAGGCTCAGCTTTCATTTTTGTGGTGTCAGGAAAACTAAAGGGAAAAGATAGGAGCTGTGTTGTGATTGGTCAAGCTGTCGCACAGCTGACAGTTATGGAGAGTACAATGCTGCTGATTTTCTGTAGTGTGGATGGGCAAAATGCTCAAGAATGTCACCATTTTAATGAGGATATAAGGTGAATAAACCTCCCCACCCGACATCTAACCTCGCCAAGAAGGCATGTACTGTATGAAATTTGGTTGCACATATAGCTGTGATGGAAGGATAAGTTGGCACAATCAAAACAGCCAAAAAGTGTTTATGGGAGTTTGTACATCTGGAAGGTTTGTATAAACCTAACAGTTCTGGAAGTAGTACTGTAGTCACTGTGTAGTGTAGCTACATGTATATGGAAAACACTAATTTTCCCGTAAACAGTAGAGATGCACATGTACATGTATCACAACTCGGGAACTCAGAAAACCAGTTCCCTGAAAGAGAATGTGTCCTTAAAAGGAACATTTTTTCCCATGTGGACCTAGGTCAAAAATATTCACATGCTTTTAAAATTATCAGTTTTTCCCCATGCATGTATTTGCCATTCATATTTAGTTACCAGTATGAACTTTGTAAAATTTCACTTGAATAACAATGTTATTTGATTAACTATGTCATGAAGAATTGATTTTCAGAAAAAAATGTTTTCATGCAGTCTTTTCCTCACCCTTTACCTATATGTGCCATGGCAGACTCCTGCTTTCCAGAAAAGTCTTGCAGGTTTGTGCACAGGACTGAGGAGT